TGTTTTTTTGAGACAGGGTCTCCCTGTATCCCCAGCTGGCCTGGAACTCACTATGTAGACCAGTCTGGCCTCAAACTCACAGAGATCTGCCTGCCTCTGCCTTCTGAGTGCTGGGATTAAAGGTGTGTACCACCATGCCTGGTTACACAGCTCACTGTTGACATTGCTATACTGAGTCCCAGGGCAGCCCCTCGTGAGGACCCTTCCCATTTGTTCCTGGCCCCTTCCCAGGCCTCATGTGACTCTGCCCCAGGACTGCAAGGCCTTCAAGATTTGGGAAAAACACTTTCCCTGGAGAGGCTACTGTGCATGTGGGGCTGGAGATGGGCTGGGCAGAGCAACTGGGCTGTTGGGGTCAGGGCCCCTCCAGAGCCTCCAGTGCTCCAGAGAGGCACAGGTACTGTATGGAGACCCAACTTGCACCCCCTGCATTCTGCAGGCCACCTTCTGGGGCCACTGCTGCATAGAGGCTTTTATCAGCCCTACTTCTGGCTCTGACCCCTAGACTCCACTGTCCTTCTTGATGGACATGGGTCACACTGAATGCCAGGTCATGGTTTTGTGTCCACGTGATCCAGCACCGCCTACTAAGTGAGGCTGTGGCCCCTGTGAATCTTGGGGACTGGCTTCAAGATGCAGTGGTAACTTGGGCCAGTGGGTCCCTCCGCCCACTGGTGCCTCAGTGCCATGTCACCCCACAGCTGGGGTTTCTTGGCTGTACTTTCCCCCGTCCCAGCGGGTTTTAATTTCCATTTTCTAAGCTGAGGTGGCAAAAGAGTCCTTAATGAGCTCCCCAAGGAGCCCTGCTGGCTGGAAGTCCTGGTCCCCAGCCCAGGGGGAGACTTGGCCAACATGAGTGATGACTCCAGAAGCCAGTGTTGGCTCCTGCAGAGGCCCCTCTGTGAGCCAGAGGCAACAGCTCCCAGGGTCTCAAGATGCTTTCCTAGTTTCCTGCCCAAAGGGTGGAGACAGATAAGGGTACAGCATGGAAGGAGGCACATAGCCAGAGCTTAGGGACCCCTCCAGGCTCATGCCAGGGAAGTGCCTGGTGGAGGATTGGAAGGGGAAATAGTGGGGCTGGAAGTAAGGGAGAAACTCCTGAGCCAGACCTCCTGAGGGCTGGATGCCCTTAGGTTGCACTGCTCAGTGATGGGGTCCTAGGCTGTGGTGTGTGTGTGTGTGTGTGTGTGTGTGTGTGTGTGGTCATACCTTTTAATCACCATACTCTTTCCTGTTGCACAGCCCTGGGGATCAGCCCTGGCCCCTGATGTCAGAGTTACCCTCCCCAAGGCCCTGCCACCTCCACACACCTGCCTCCTACTCCACCTGGGTGGTCTGCCTCACATTACTCATATGGACAGTAAGAACAGCTCTCCAGCAGCCAAAGGATGGCCATAGGGATAGCCCTAGCTCCTCCTGGAGGGGGTCTCCAGCGGAAGTCCCTAGTGGCTTTGTGTGTCCCTAGCTGGGCATTACAAAAACCAGCTAAAGTACAGACAACCAAGGCTCATGACGTGTGGATCAGGAGGTAGGCACAAAGATCTGGTCTAGTCCTCTCCTGGCTGTTGCTAGCCAGTATGTGGCACAGCCTGGCTCTTCTGCCTGCCAGCTCTGATTCCAGGGAACAATGGGCCAGAGGAGTCCCAGGGCCATGGCCACCACAGGCAGGGACAGAGGCATAGCCACAGCCACTTGGCTATTCCTGCCATTGAGAGAGCATCTCCTCCCAGCAGGAGGCCCAGAGACGCCAGGAGAAAATAAGACTCAGGAAGACAGGGAGGGGGAACATACTGCTGGGGACCGGGCAGGAAAAGGGTGCCTTAGGGTCTGCTGGGATTTGATTGCCTGTGCATGGTCAGGCAAGTGCCCGGTCCTTGGCTGGGAATGGCTGTTGGGGCTTACCTCAGCTTGTGCCTGCTGGCTCTGGGCCTCCTGCCGAACCCGCTCCAGTTCCCTGGAAGCCCCAGAGAGCTTCTTGCTCATCAGGCTCCTGTCTGCCTCCTTCAGAGACAGGGCCTAGATGTGAGGAGGCAAGGTGCGTTTGAGTGAGCTAGGGAGCTCCGGAGGGGCTCCGACTGCCCTCTGAGGAGAGGCAAAGCAGAACACTGAGGGCTAAGGCCCCGTCAGACTCTCTAGTGCTTGCTTGCACACCTTGCCGCTGGGTGGGGAGGGGGCGTAGTCCAAGACCAGCCTTCCCTCATCCTACACCCTTCCTCTAGGTGCTCAGTGGTGCTTCACACTGCTTCAGAACCTTGGTTTTCACTAGGCAGACTGGCACGCATCATGACTCCTCATCATTCTGGGCACTGCTCCCTACTGTGAGCAGGAAGAAGCCACTGATGCCCAGCCCCCCAGATTCCTGTCCCACTAAGGGCATGGGCAGGACACAGAGCCTGACTTGGGGAGGCCAAGCTTTACCCCAGCTCCCAGGGTGGTGCAGCTAGAAATGGACCTCAGTCATGTTCCAAGCATTACATGGACTACCCCCAGTGCCCTTCCTATAATCCCTGTTTGGGAGCAGCCCCTGTTTCCACCACCTCAGCCTGGTGTGCAAGACCACGCCTGACCTCTGCACTCCTTGCCACCTGGCTCCCACACATCCTGGTGGCCACACAGACACATGCCATCCCACTCACTTCTGAACATTCCCACCCCAGCTTTCTGCCCCTATCCCAGACTCTTGTTCCTATCCCAGCCTCCCACCCCCATCCCAATCTCTTATTCCTACTCCAGCCTCCTGTCCCCATCCCACCCTCTTGTTCTTATCCCAGTCTCCTGCTCCCATCCCTGCCCAGCCTCTTGCTCTTCCTGCAAGGCCTTAGTCAGCTTCCTGCAGCACAGGACATAGAGAGGTGAGCAGTTTAAAGCATGGCTCCTGTGCCCAGAGGGTATGCCATGTAACTCCAGGCAAAGGATCAGCACGTGAAGACCTCAATTTTCTACCAGTAAAATGGGCTCATAAAAGCTTGTACCTCAGAGTATTAATGGTCAATTAGAAACAGTCTGACTAGAGACCCTGGCTCCTCCTGCCACTTGTAGCCTTACCCTGCAATTTGTGCAGACAGACTATCATCCTGGCTCATTGTGTGATGACATGTATGAAAGTATATACTTGTCCACTCTATTCACTCAGCAATGAGCTCTTTGGGGGTAGCTTAGTGACCTGGAGACCCCTGAACTCAAGGGTGGTCTTTCAGATCCAGTGTCTGGGTTTGTGGGATGGAAGGCTAGCCAGAGTGGCTGAGAGCTATGTGGCTGGACTCTTCTGATGGCTAGATGATTGGCCAATCAGGTGAGTGAGCTGATGAACAGCTGGGCACACGGGTAGACAGCTAAATGTGTGGCTAGTTGGAAGGGTTGCTCAGTGGGTGGATGGACAGAAGGCCAGCATGGCTAAGCAAGTTAATGGCTGGATGGTTAGCTGTGTGGATGGCTAGGGTGTGGCTGGATGGTCATGTTTATGAATGGAGGTCTGCATGTGTGGGAAGAAGGATGGGTAGCCAAGTGGGAGAAGGAAGATGGACAAGCACGGATGGGTGGATGGGCAGAGGGTGGATGTGCGGGCGAGTGTGAAGGGGTGGTGGTGCACGTATGTATGGTGGATATGTGGGTCCGAGGATGAATGAGTGGGTGTGTAGACGGGTGGAAGAGTAGGTGGGTGGCCGTCTGTCTACCAGGATTGCTGTGGTAATCCAAAGTTGTATCAATCTGAAAAGATGCACTTGCCTTGGGGTGGCTCCTGTTCAGCCCTTGTGCTGTGACCAAGAAGATAGCAAGGTGGGTACGAGGATCCCCAGTCCCCATGGCACGCTCACCTGCTGCAGCAAGGTGGGTATGAGGACCCCCGGCCCCCATGGCACTCTCACTGCAGCAAGGTGGGTACGAGGCCCCCCGGCCCCCATGGCACTCTCACTGCAGCAAGGTGGGTACGAGGCCCCCCGGCCCCCATGGCACGCCCACCTGCTGCAGCGTGGGTACGAGGCCCCCGGCCCCCATGGCACTCTCACCTGCTGCAGCAAGGTGGGTACGAGGCCCCCCGGCCCCCATGGCACTCTCACTGCAGCAAGGTGGGTACGAGGCCCCCGGCCCCCATGGCACTCTCACCTGCTGCATCTCATGCTCCAGTTCGAGGAGGCTCTTATCTTGCTCCCACTTCAGGCCCCTAATTTCCTCCTCCAGAGCCTCCTTCTCAGCTGCACTTTTTGCCACCACCTCTTTTATCTGTTCCAGTCGGTGGGCAGCCACCTCCTTCTCCTCTGCCAGGGACAGACTGAGGGTCTCCTGAGTGAGGCGAAAGATTAGCTGTGAGGTCAGAAGCGGGAGACCAATAGGCCCTTGAGTTAAACCTCCTAGTCCTTGAGAGACCAGGGCTGGGTAGTCAGGCCAGCTGATCTCCCCTTGTTTTCTCTAAGGTCCCCCAAACAGAAGCTAGAAAGGGCCTCTCTGGGTCTCAGCAGCTACTCTCCCATGTTAATCTGTCAGATCTTAACTTGCTCCCGGATCTCCACCATGTGCCATTTGCAAGGGCATGAGTGGACGTGTGTATGGGTGGACAGATGAACAAATGCATAGATAAATGGATGATGGACAAATGGATATGTTTGGATGGATATGTGGATAGATGGACATATAGATGAATATGTGTTTGGATGGATAGATGGATGAATGTGTGGGTCAAAGAATGAGATGTATCATACAAGGCTTCCAGGGGTCTGTCTTGTCTCTGTCCATCAGCTTGGAGCCACGGCATTGGGCTCCCAGGCTAGGCCTCTTGTGTGAGCAGAGTCTACCCTGTAAACCAACACCCCATACCTCTTCAAGGGCTTCCCTGACCATTTAAACTATGAAGAGCAGCCAGGTCCCTCCCTGCTGCTCTGCTACCTCCACCTTGTTGGGAGGACCCTAACCCTAACCCTAACCCTGCAGAGGACATAGCAGATCAATGGAAGTAGGTAGGTGGGCCCCTGGGAGGCAGACCTTCTCCCTCTGCAGCCGTGCCAGGTCCTCTCGGTGGGCCAGTGCCTGGCTCTCCAGGGCCAGCTGTGCCTCCCGCTCCTGCTGTGTTGCCTGCTGCTGCAGCTGCCCCAGGTCCCACCGCAGCTTTGTCTCTTGGACCTCCCAGGTGCTTTTCAGCCTCTCCATTTCCACTGTGAAGTGAGGTATGTCACCGCAGTGCCCACGGCCCTTGAAAGCACCCTTGAGAGATGTCTGCCTGCTCTGCCTGTGGCCAGCACATGGTGGGTAGCCCAAGCAAGGGCACAGGCACAGGGAATGGGCAGGAGGCCACTGTGACAACACTGTGACTGCATTTCAGGTCTGAGCCTGGGGTTGGCAACAGGATGGGCCTGTGTAACATCTCCGATCACAGGAGCTCCAAGTCCATAGCTTTGTTCCTCCAGGATCCAGGGAGTGAGAATAGCATCTAGGGACTGGGTTCCCCTCAACAATGACTTGGGGGGTGGGGCAGAGCGTTCATCCACTGCAGCACCTTGCAAGGCCCGGCGAGCTAGCCGAGAGCCCTGGGCTTCTCCTTCCAGCTGTTCCCGCTGGGCCTGCAGCTGCATCGCCAGCTGTTGGGCCTCAAAGAGGCTGTTCTCCAGAGAGTCCCTCTCAGCCCTGCAGAGGAGCATCAGACAGCAGGCATGTCACCCACAACGTCCTGAGAGGAGCAGTCCAGAGCCCAGGCTGGGCTAGGAGATAAGAAAAGCAGCAGGGTGTCTCATTCATTTGAATCCTTAAGAATCAATTGCACTCTACATAAAAACATATTTCAGGCAAAATAAAAGGCCAAATCTTGAAACAAAACAAGCAAAATAACTCAGAACTACAAAAACAGAACAGATATAGATTATTCTAATCTTCTTATACCTAACATGAAAGCCAGAAGAAAAAAAAATAAAGAGGACAGATCTGGATATACTTAAAGGCAAGGGGTGTAGAATCCATAAATCAGATCATACAAGGATAGGGGAATCCATAAATCAACTTAGAAGGCAAAGAACACATAATGAAACCCATCAGTTTATTAACTTGAGAAATTAATTTTTAAAAATTAAAAAAATGACAATTGGAAGATAATCTTCGCTTAGTATATAAACATCGGGTGAACATCCATCACAAAAAAAAGAGTTCCTGCTAATCAATAGCAGAGAGTCGGCTGATCCTACAGAAAAACAAGAAAAATGACTGTTCAAAGAAAACATCAGATAGCCAAAAGCACATGAAATTCACTTCACCTTACCAGGAGAGGCCAGGGCCCAGGGAGACTCATATCACAGCCTGGCAGTTCCATTAATCACACACCAGATTAGCAAAAGCTTAATGGTGACCACACCAGTGTTAGTGAGGAATGGGTAGAGAAGACTAAGCGTGCTGGCCTTGCCGCTGTAAGTCCACATCCAGGTGCCAATTCTCGAGCCACCTGACTGGCTACACTGGGAAAAGGATGCTCACTTGAGCTTTTTACAGGATAATTGTGCTTGGCTGGAATGCCAACAAATGACAGAACATTTAAGACATTATGGTGCAATCTATGGCATACCATGCAATTAACAAGGGAGGAGTCACCCTCAGAACAACCAATAGAGCTAGAGCATCACAGGCAGCCCAACTCCACTGTGGAAAAAGTCACCAGGTATATCTGCACACAGAGGTCATTGCTCAGAAAATACCTGTACCTATGTGTGCCAACCCCTGACGGTGCCTGCTTCTAGGAGGGTGACTGAATAGAAGTCTGACATTCTGAGAATTAGTTCATTGGTGATTCTCCAGGCTGTCACCACTAGCATGACTTAACTGTCATTATGCTTGATTGTCTGCTGGGTGCACACACAGTGAGACATTTTCTGAGTATTAGGTATCCACAGTCATACCATGAGTGCTCAAATACATTGTTCATTTTAATGGAGCAGCAACATACACTCCTGATGGGTGAGGGAAGCCATGGGCCACGTGGCCCTCAATCAGCCTGAGAGTCCTGCCACAATTTTTGTAACCTTACAGAACACTGGAAACCTGCCAGGGCTCCCTGATGTGGGAGGGGACAGTCCTTTGGACTCAGGTCAGAACCTCCAGAAACCTCCCTCTTTGCCACATGGTATCCTGTCCCCCTTGTCAGCACTGTACATGAGTGTGCCTTCTGCCAGGGTGCTCTTTCCAGTTGTGTATGGAGAATGTCCTCCCTTTGGGCTGCCTTGAAGTCTCCTCCTCCTCCTGGAAGACCACCTGGTCTTGTCTAGAGGTTTCTGCCTCTCTCATGTCTGCATGTAGCCTGGAACCTGAGGGGCTATCCAGCCTCTTTCTCCATGAGGCCCAAGTGCTCACTGCTGTTGAGCTCCAGAGTGGAGGCCCAGTGCCACAGGGTACTCCTACAACGAGGAAGACACACGGGTAGTGGGCTGGCTGCAGTGTGGTGTGCAGGTGAGAGCCCAGCCCATCTCACTGGCTAGTTAGCAGAACAGCACTCTACAGATAGAGCAGGACACCAGTGCTATAGCCTGGTCTGCATCAGGAAGTAGAGGTTCTCAGCACCCCAAAGCTGAACTCCTTCAAAATGCAGACCCACATGGGTTATGTCAGAAGCAAAGACAGCCCATATGTAAGAACTTTCAGTTACTCCAAAGTTGAGACAGTCAGGTAAACACTGTGCGTGCTGTGCGTGTGTGCGTGCGTGTGTGCATGCGTGCATGTGTGTGTGTGTGTCTGTGTCTAGGCAAGTACACTCGCTTAAGTGAATCTCTGGCTGTCTTGTCACAGAGGCTTCAGCTGGTCATCATGATACACTAGCGGTTTATTCAGGAGAGTGGTCAGCGTGAGAAGCTGAGGATCTGGGACACTACAGTTCCCTCTGGTCCCAGTTTCTGGAGTTCCAGGAGGAAATCCTCCATGGAAGCTTTCCCTGAAAAGGATCTGGGGGCAGAAAGCAGCAGTCAGCCTTGGGTGTAAGACCAGCCTTGGGCCACCACTGTCCTTGCCTCCATGTGCCCCATTCTAAGCTCTGGACGTTGCCCCTGATGGTTGTGGGGGTTCCCTTACCCCCATTGTCAGTCCCGTGGTTCTTTGGGTGGAGTCTGCCCCAAGTTGCCCAACCCTGTGCCTCTGGCTTCCAGAATTTCTGTTGAGACACCCAGTGGCTCCAGATGGCTTATGCAGCAGCTAGGGGCTTGTGGGAGAAGAGGGCTCTGTCTGCTGGAGGAGGGCTCTGTCTGCTGGGTCAGCCCTTTTGCTACCTCTCAAAGGTGTCTACCCGGGAATGAAATCTCAGTGCCAAGCAGCACTGAGGTCGGAGGGGCAGGGTCTTGGAGGCTGTGGAAATACCTTTACACAGTCTTACCTGAAGCATCACACTGAACTCTTCTCATATCCTTGAGGAAGATGTTGTACATCTTCCTTCCACTGGTCTGAGCTGGGTTTCTGATATTTGCCCAACATTTTCAGGAAGGTGACCACAGGGCACCTCATTTAACGCTTCATGCCCCGCCCCGGCCAAGGCACCATGTCTCTACTCTTGCATGCACAACCCATATCATATGCAGACAACAGACACATCCTGCCCTAGGTCACCATGTCTATCCCTCACCTCTGCTGGCCATCACACCATAGGCCCTCTGAAGGAAGAGCACAGAAGGTATACCCTGACTAGCAGTCATGCTGGTACCTCAGATCAGCTGCCTCCTCAGTTGCAAGCCGGCCCTGTCTCTCCAGGGCTTCCTGCTTGGACAGTAGTTGGGCCCGTTCCTCAGACACAGTGTCCTTCTCACGCAGGGCTTCCTGCAGAGTGTCCATCTGCGCCTCCTGCTCCTGCAGGCTCTGTGCCAGCTGCTTCTCCAGGGCCTGGTTCTTGCATGTGAACTAGGGGAGGAAAGAGGGACCATATGACCATGTGACAAGGAGAGTGAGCACATCGGAAGAATGTGCTTGGGAAGAAGAGTCTCACAGGATGGTGTGGAGGTGCGAGTGGATAAGGTGGGTGATCATGAAACAGCATACCTCAGAAGCTCACATATGTACTTTCCAATAGAGGGAGCAAACACTCCCAAAACCCTGGTGAACATGCCATGGAACTGGGTGTTTCTGGGTCACAGCCAACTGCCAACCTCAGGCACAACTTTTGCTAGATTGCCAAGTGTCCAGGGAGCAGGATACGTGGCTTGAAGGTACAGAAGCAGCACAGGTGGCTGGTGCTGAAGACCAGTGCTTCCCCAAGAACTTTGTCAGAGTCTCGACAGAGCCCTACAAGGCCTTGAGTTGCAGAGGCAGTGGGGTTCAGAGCAGTTCTTGGGGCAGTGAACCACCACTGGTGTCTCTTCTTTTCTTAAAGCATTTGCTGATTTATAGCTTGAGCTGGGAAACTCAAATACTGAGGCATTCACAGTTAATAAGAACACCCATCTAATTCTGGCTTTTGGTCCATAGAGGGGTTGACTCTGTTGACAGCAGTGAGTCAGAAACGGGCCATTCCTCACAGACTGAAGCTCAGATGTGGATTACCACGGCTGCCAACCAACCTCAGGGTGAACCTCTCCTACTTCCACTGTCCATCAGCATCAGACCTAAACCAATCTTCTCTGGGAGAACAGCATGAGTATCCTTAAATTACTCAGACTGCATGATAAATGGCATTTAATCAACACAGCCTGGCGTACCAGGAGACAGGGTCACATGACCAGAACCCACAGGTAGGAGCAGAAGGAGACACAGACACTTCCTCCAGCTGTCCACATATTGGCATTATCAGTGTTTAAAATAGCTGGTTAACAGCTGGGCGTGGTGGCGCATGCCTTTAATCCCAGCACTGGAAGGCAAAGGCAAGCAGATGTCTGTGAGTTCAAGGCCAGCCTGGTCTACATAGCGAGTTCCAGGCCAGCTGGGGCTACAGGGAGACCCTGTCTGAAAAAACAAAAAACCAAACCAAAACAAAAAACCTGGTTAGTATATATGATGTATGGGGGCAGTGGATTAAGAACATTAGCTGTTCTCACAGAGGAACTGGGTTCAGTTCCTAGCACCTACATGGCAGCTAAAAAGTATAACTCCAGTTCTACAAGATCTGACGCCCTCTTCTGACCCCTGTGGGCATTGTATGACACAGGTGCACTTACACACATGCAGGCAATATACTCGTACTCATAAAATAAAAATAATAAAAAATATTTTAAAAAGGAGAGGCAAGGTGTGGTGTTTTGAGAAATGTCCTCTATAGACTCAGGTATTTGAACACTTGGGCCCCAGTTGGTGGCACTGTTTGAGGTTATGGACAGTTTAGGACATGAAGCCTTGCTGGAGGAGGTTCGCCACTGTGGGTGGGCTCTGAACACTCACAGCCCCGCCCCACTTCCAGTTCACTCTACTTCCTGTTTTGAGCTCTGGCTTCCTGTTCTGCTCCTGCTGCCACACCTTCCGCACCATTGTGGACTCTCCCTCTGGAACCATAAGCTAAAATAAACTCTTTCTCCACAAGTTGCCTTTGGTGTTTGTTTATTTTGAGACAGCATCTCTCTGTAGCCCAAGATGGCCTGGAACTCACTATGTAGGTCAGGCTGGCCTTGATCTCACAGAGATCTGCCTGCCTCTGCCTCCTGAGTGCTGGGATTAAAGGTGTGCATCACCCTTTAATTAAAGGCTGGGATTAAAGGTCGTGCAATGCCGTCGGAGGAGAGAAGAGGCTGGATCCCCTGGAACTGGAGTTATGGACAGTTGTTAGCTGCCATCAGGGTGCTGGGATTCTAACCCGGGTCTTCTGCAAGAACAGCCAGTGTTCCCAACTGCCGAGCCGCCTCTCCAGCCCCCGAGCAGATTTTTTTATTTTAGGGGTAGGAGTTGTAGAAATTGACATGTAGATCCTGAAGTATAGACAGATATGCAAAAGATTTAAAACAGACAAAAAAAACTTGAAAATGAACAGGGTGAGAATTCATAGGCTATACAGCACTAAGATTTACTGAAAGGGCAAAACCACGTGGTTTGGGGAAAGAATGAATAAATTCGCACAAATGAACAAGTCCCCCACACAATCAATTTCTTTTCAACAGTGTCCAAGTGTTATGGTTTGCATAGGAATCACACCCCAAATGCTCATGAGTTCTGGTACTAGTCGCCAGTTGGTGGCACTATTTTGGGGAAAAGGCCTGGGAACTTTATAAAGTGGATCCTAGATGAAGGAAGTAGGTCACTGGGGGAGGATCCCTGGGAGTCCTAGACATCTCCTGTCCCTGCCACTCTTTGCTTCCTGTCCATGATGAGGTGAACATCCTCTTCCTCACCTGTTCCTACCAGCCAGATGTTATGCCTCACAAATGGCCCAGAAACACAGAACCCTTTGAAACAATGAGTCAAAATAAATGACTCCTCCTCTCTAGTTTTTCTGTCAGACATTGTGTCCCAGCAATGAGAAATGTAACTAACACAGGAAACCAGTGCCAAGAGTGGAGTCATTGCTGTGATCTTCGGACAACATGATTCTTAAATCTCTGTAACTGGTTCATGGGGGGGATTTGGAAGAGTTTGAAGAAGCAGGTTGGAAAAAGCCTAGGTGCTTTGAGCAGAACTTAACTGTTGGTTCTAGTGTTTGCTCAGAAACCCAGAATGCTGGTAGGAATGCATGCAGAAACTGTGCTCATGGGGTTTCAGCAGGAATTGAAGACTCTAGGGACTGCACTACAGGCTGCATATGTTATATTTGGGCAAATAATTTGTTTACATTTTGCCTGTGTCCTGAGACTCTGAGTGAGGTTGAATTTAAAAGCAATGGGCTGTCAAAAAATTAGTTTAGGTGCTAGCACTGCATGTGCTGTGCATATTCTGGTTTATTAAATAAAAAGTTGAACTGCACAGTCCAAAAAAAAAAAAAAAGCAATGGGCTAATTAATTTGGGGGAAGGAAGTTTAAAACAGCCCAATGTTTGGGCCGTGGTCTGGTTATTGTGGACGGCTTTTAGCCCACTTTACAATGAGAATCAGAGACGAAAGCAGAGCATAAAACTTGAAAAATGTGGTTTGGCCAAAATGACCAATCTAAAGTTTGGGTGATGGAGTTGTTGGGGACATCAGTCCCAGCAAAAACAAGCCACATCCTTCCCATGGGGACAGTAGGAAGCTTGCCTTGAGAGCATCTTAGGAACTGGCCAGAGTCCTCACACCACATGCTCAAGGGTATGAAAGGCTTGAGGAGAGAACTCCTCTGGGGTGCCTAGTTTGCACAGGGCCACAGGGGAAATGTTGCCATCAGAGGTCACTGCAACTGTGATCTAAGGGGGCCCAGCTACCATATGAGTTGGCAGCAGACCTTGGCCTCTTTCATATGGTCATGGTTCTATAGGTGTGCAGAATGCAGACATTATAGGATCCTGAAGGCATCCATCTAGATTTCAAAGAAGGCCTTGGAGGCCAGGCCACAGACAGTATAAGGTGTCCATGTTGGACAGAGGCTCTGCGGGCTGGGGCTGGAGCTGAGGCATTTGGGCAGTCACTGGAATGGGGCATGAGGGAGGCTGCTGGGGTGGTGGACACATTCTCCATCTTGATTGGTCCTTCCACAGGTGCAGAGTTATCAGAGTCATTGGTCTGTCACCAATATTGCACACTAATTATGCTTCAACAAAAATGGAGGAAAGGGATGAGAAAGAAAAGGGCTGAGAACAGAGAGAGGCCATGCTGTCCCAAAGGGACACAGGAGCTGAGGTGCCACTGAAGGCCCGAGACCCAGGGTTTCCATGCAAGCAAACAAGACACATCATAAAAGAACCAAACTGCTTCCGAGTCATTCCATACAGAGTGTATCCTCATCACCAAAAGACAGAGGAACAGAGGCTGAGGAAATAGCTAGTTGGTAAAGTGCTTCCTGTGAAAGTACGAGGACCTGAGTTCAACCCCAGAACCCATGTAGATAAAAAGCTGGGCCTTTTACTGCCAACACTGGGAAGGCAGAGGCAGGAGGATTTGCTAGAGATTGCTGTTCGGCTGTCTAGCCTACTCAGTGAGCTCCAGACCAGTGAGACTCTGTCTCACAAAACGAGGTGGTGGTAGGGCCTGGAGAGATGGCTTAGCAATTAGGAGCACTTTCTGCTTTTCCAGAGAACCAAGGTTTGTTTCCTAGCACCTATGTAATGGCTAACACCCATCCTTAACTCCAGTTCCAGGGGATCTGATGGCATCCTCTTCTGTCCTCCATGGGCACTGCATGACACTGGTACACTTACATGCAGACATAGCATTCATACACATTAAAAATAATTTTAAACATAAAATATTTTTTAAAACCCTAAGAGACCAAAAAACCCCGAAAACAAGGTCAGTGGTACTTGAAGAGCAACACATGAGGTTGTCCTCTGACCTGTACACACATGTGCACACATGAATGTGTAACACACATGCATATGGACCTGTATATGAACACACATACAAAACAAACAAAATGAAACAACAAAACCCAGCAGCCAAAAACAAGAACTGAACACACATGCTAAGTCTTGAATGATGAACGCAGGGCCATCCAGCTGTGCACACACAGACCTGGCAGAGCCCCAACCCTGGATGTCGAGGACAGGCCTGACCCAAATCTCTGTCCTATAATCCTGGTGACTTCAACTCAGGTCCTCATGCTGGTAGGGTTAGCACTTTTCTGACTAAACTCTCCCCAACCCCTTCAAAGGTATGACGAACAACAGCAGGGCAGGATGTGTGACCTCCCACAGCCTGGCTTTACCTGGCCCACCTGCTCCCAGAGCTGGGCCCTCTCATGCCTGAGCAGGGCTGCCTGCTCCTCCAGGTGCTCCTGCTGCTGCTCGAGGTGCCCACAGGTCTCCTGCAGAGTTCTCCACTCAGCCCTCACACACTGTAGCTGCTGTTCTGTCTGTGCCAGCTGCTCCCTGGCACTGGCCTGCTCCTGCTCCAGAACCTTTTGCTGTTCCCAAAGCTGATCTCGCTCCTGTTCCAGCTACAGGGCAGGTGGGAAGGTGATTAGCCTATGTAGTACACATCCTTAGTCCTCATAGGCCATCTGTCCCACCTAGGCCCGTCACAGGGATTGCGTCTTCCCTCCCTCGGGCCTGATTAGGTCTAGCGGTCAGGCCATGCATCCCTCCTCCAGCACCTGCTCTCAGTGATTGTGGTCTCAGTCCAAACAGGTAGGAGACCTGGGGGATAGAAGGAGGAACCCTCACAGCCACCTTGGAGAAACTGAGACCCAGGCCCTTGCCTGTAGCACCAGGTGGTTCAGAGCGCCTTTGTCCTGGGCAAGCCCTTCCATTAGTGCAGCCATCTTGGCCAGTGAGTCCCGTTGCTCTAGTCCCTCTGACTTCAGCCGTGTCACCAGCAGTTCCAGGTCAGCGTTGCTGGATTCAGCCTGGGGCAGGGGACACACAGTGGTCACCCTGAGGGGGTTCAAGGAGGGGCTACAAATTCCCCCCAGCAGAACCAAGATTCTAACCAGAGATGGCGACCAGTGGCCCAGGGAGATGCTCTGGGAAGCAGGTGTGGCCAGCAGAGCTGAGAGCAGTGAGGAGTGAGAGGAGAGGTCAGAGCCCAATGGTAGCGATCAGGAGCCCTGGTGGTGGCCCATCCCAGGTGGGTGAGGACAGAGGCAAGGCCCATGTATAACGGGGCACAGAAGGGCACATACCCGGGCCAGGGCACCACGCAGGCTCTCTCTCTCACTCTCTACGACGTCCCTCTGCAGCTGTACTGAGCTCAGTGCCTCCCGGACCTTGGCCAAATCCTTCCTGAACCCAGAGACCTTCTCTTCCAGCTGTTCCAGGCGGCCCTGGCTGAGGTCCCAGGCCAGAAGGCAAAGGTGTGTGGCCCTCTCAGGGTGAATGGGGCCTGATTCTATGACACTTATGGGCAAGAAAGTCCAGCAATCCCCTCCAAGCCCAGGGAGCACCAGAGGATCCCCAGGGGAGCACTGTACCCCTTGAGACCAGTCTCTGACCATATGCCTGGGTGCGGTGTATGCAAGGTGGTTAGTGAAAGTAGGGAAGGACATTGGGCTGATGTAGGTGTGGGAATCTGGGTCAGGTGATGCCCAGCTCTTGGGGAGCTACAGACCCCTCGGCCCCTGCTGCCTTGTTGGAGTCTGACCTGTGGCATCACAGCTCAGGGGACCCCTGCTGGCTTACAACCACAACCCACCTGGCCTCCAGCTCCCTCAGGCTCCGCTCCCTCTGCTGGGCCAGCTCAGCTTTCTGCTCTGTCCGGACCAGAAGGCTTTTCTGAAGTTCTGCATTTGTGGCTTCCAGCCTCTGTGTCTCTGCATCCTGGATGTTGGCCTTTGCTCTTAGCTCTTCCACTGTTGACTCCAAGGCTGACTTCTCCCTGGGAGCAGGGGCAAAGGTAGAGGTGCCTCAAGCCATCCTTCAGGGAAGGAGCACCGGATGCCATCAAGACATTGTGACAGAGAGGACCATCAGTACAGGTAAGTAGGTGTGGATCAATAGGAACAAGTGAGAGAGAAAGGGGGTGGGGGTGGGGGAGTTGGATGGGTTTAGGTTTGCAGAGGTCATAAAGGCAAGAGTTCAGAGAGGTGTAGGAGCGCTAAGAAAGAGCTGAGATGATGTGACCCACAGCCTCAGACTTCATCTAGCTGGCTGGGATACCAGTCCTCCCCTCCCCTGCAGGAGTTCAGGGCACAGCTTTCTGCTATAGAGGCTCTGCCCAGCCAGTCCTTGAAGACCTCTCTCTGCCATGTCCACCCAGTCTTTGCAGGCCTCCATTGGAGAAGGGACTCCTCTTTGGCCAGTATCTACCCTACCCCAGATCTGCCCCACAACCCTCAGGTCTGTATACTCTGTGGGTCTTGCAGCTCCTGTGCAGAGGCCACGGAGCTCTGGATGCTTCTGCTCATGTCTCACCCTATGCAAAGCCATGCTTAGCCATGTGGCTAGATCTTTTAAATTTTTATTTATTTATTTATTTATTACATGTATGAGTGTTTTGACTGCGTGGATGTTTTGCCCACATGGATATAAGTGTACCTGTGTCATGCAATGCCCAGAACTGGAGTTAAGGATGGTTGTTAGCCACCATGTGGGCCATGTGGACATTGGGAACCGAACTCAGGTTGTCTGCAAGAGCAATCAGTGCTCTTAACCACTGAACCATCTCTCCAGCCGCCCCCTGGACCTCAAAATTTTAAACACACCACTCCTACCCTGTCCCTGAGTTTCAACTTCCATTTCCCAAGTGTCCCTCGGATCTGATACTACACGGGCTCACTCTTGCCTGCTGACCTCCCCGCAGCATCCACCTGCTGCCTCTACTCTGCTCCTGCCTTGACAGAAATCCCTGTGTCGTCTCCTCTGCCCCCTTGTTCTTGGAGATGTAGACAGTCCCCCTTCTGTGACATGGTCCTGCCTGTGTGGCAGGTTCACATGAGACTCCCCTTAGACTCTACCACGCAGCATCCCCACACAGCCCCGTCTCCTCTCTGAGTAGGCCTCTCTGTCTTCCAAGGCTTTGCTTTCTCCCAGAACACTCACTACTACTCTTGAACCCCTACCCCAGTGCAAGGCTGCCCCAGTCTGTCCGTCTCTGTGTTCACCTGCTCTGTAATACTCACCTCTCCTGTCTCAGCCCTTGGAGGACAGAGAGGCTTTCCCAGAGGGGAGGCAAGGCTGTGTGGAACATGCTGTGTGGCAGAGTCTATGGGGAGTCTGCCAAATAGGCAGGACTGTCCATATCTCCAAGAACAGAGAGCAGAGGAGGCCACACAGGGACTACCATTGGGGTAGGAGCAGGGTAGAAAAAGGTGCTTATAGGAACAGGAAGATGCACAGTCTGTCTCCCACCATGGGGGTGAGAGGGCAAAAGGGGCTAGGCTATTTCTGCTCCCTGGGGTGTGGGCCACCTCCTAAAGCCTGCCTCCCACAGGTCCTAGGGACATCCCGAGGCCCTCACTCCTTCACTGTCTCTAACCCCAGGGTGAGGAGATATGTGTGAAAGTGTCCAAAGCTCCATGGCAACTACTTTGCAGTGGAGTTGGGGTTCTACTGACCATGGTGAAGGGTCATAGTTAGGGAAGAGTCACCCAGAGGGAAGCCTGGAGTCATGTTGTTGGGAGAGGAGAGCTTGACTAAAGCCAGGGCTTCTGGGGACAGGAGAGAGGCTTGGCCTCACAGAGATTTTAGAGTATGAGCAAATGGTGTCTCTGTTTTGGGAAGGGAAGCCCAGATCAGGTATAGCATGGGGGTCTGGGATGAGAGAGAGGAGCTACTCAGTCCAGGAAGGGGTCAGAGAGTGAGGGGTGGCCTGGCCACAGAGAGGTTTGTCTGGGGTCATGGCCTGTTCCTACTCCTGTGAGGTCTCACAGCGGACTAGCACTCAGTACTGCCCCACTCTGCCCTACAGCTTCAATCACCTTCTCAGGAGTTCAATGGATGCCTGGTGATGCTGTGCCTCCTGCCTCTGGGCCTCCAGCTGGCCCAGCAGGTCTTCATGTGCCTGTGCTCCGTCCTTCAGGCACCTCTGTGAGGTTCGAAGCTCTTGTCGGTACTCAGACAACTGCTCCTGGAGCCTGGCTGCTGCTTCCTGGGAGGATTCCAGCCTTAGACTCAGTTCCTGTGGGGGATGGGGGTGGGGGATACGGGGTAATGGAATACACTGTGAGTCTCAGTGGCCAGCCAGGACTCTCCAACTCCCCCAGAGAGGCCCCTAAGTCCTGAGCCCCTTTTCCAGGCTGTGGTGCGCAAGGGCAAGTCCCATGGAGAACTGACCACTGACTCACCTAGGAAGGCCATGGACAGGTCGCATAAAAGTTCCCCAGCTGGGCAGGGTTTGTGGTTCTGGTGTCCCTGTGTGCTGTGACAACTCACCTGCTCATGCTGTCGTCGTCTCTCAATGGCTGCCTGTACAGCCTGCAGTGCAGGGTCCATGCTGGTTGGGGATCTGGCCCGTATTGAGGACATACCCGGATGGGGTGCAATGGCATGTGGGGGGCTCCTTAGTTGGCCCTGTACCTCCCTGCCTCCAGTGCTGCTGCTCCAGGCCAACTCTAGGTGCATGGCATCTGCCCGGGCCACCTTCAAGTCACAGAGGGAGGGACAGATGAGGAGAGAGTACAGGGCTGTTGTTGAACAGGACCTTCTGGACTGTGAGGACCAATTGGAATCATAGTCCTCATTGGTCCTCTGTATCTAGGAAGGCCTCCAGGAAAGGCCATACCTCTGTGATGCTGGCCAGGATGTGGTGTAGTGTTTCGACCTCGTCCCTTAGGCTGTCCACCACCAGCTGACCCCCACTGCGCCGGGATTTCTGTGGGTAGAGATCCCTGAGCCAGGCAGACATGTACACACAGCAAAGTGCCCCTTTCCCACCCACATACCAGTTTCTGGATGTCTGCTTTGAGTGCTGCAATGGTTCTCTCCCCTTGCTCCTTTTGCGCAGAGAGCTTCTCCACCAACTGCGTCTGTTCTGAGAGTCTGGAGAGAGGTCAAAGGGGTAGTGAGGGGTCCCGAGGGTGCTTGTTTCTGTCAGGACTCCTCCTTGTGGTACAGTCTCTCTACAGTGCCAGGGCCGAGTGCAGTCCACGTCCTGATCTCATGTCCCCTCTGCTATAGAACCTGACATGAACTCCACTATCTCCACATCAATCCTGACCTCAGCACTTAGGAACTACTCCCTCATCCCAACTCAGTTCTGCAGCCTCATGTCAGAACACTGGGCACAGATCAGCACCCGGAGAACTGCAGGGGCTCTCAGACTAGGCAGGGCATCCACCCGCTCCCAAGCCTCTCCTGTACTAGCTACTCAGAGCCACGGCCTACCTGGCCTGTAGTGCCACTTTCTCTGCAGCCCAGTGGCCCTGCAGCTGCAGCATGTCCCTGGTCTGCTCCTGCAACCGCTGCTCCAGGTTGCTGGTCATGCTGCTGGCTTCCAGCTGCAGGTGGGAGTTAAGGCTCAGGCAGGCCGTGTGCAAGCGCCGGGCTGTCCGAGCCATGTCTGCCTGTACGTCTGTGAGACCCCTGGGATACAAGAGAGGTGCCTTGGCTGAGCCTCAGGACCAGGCCACGGGCTTGGGGCCCAGGAGACTACAAGCCAGGCTCCAGATGGAGGGGGAGACCACAAGGGCCAATGACCATTATCGAAGAAACCCCAATGGGTTGGCCCACAGGCGGGAGTGGCAAGGGTGGAGATGGGGGAAGGATGCCTGTGTCAGACAAACAGCAGCTTTAAGCAAGACATTGGTCTCTGGGCCTCGGTTTCCTCAGGTATAAATGGGGTTGCTATGTACCTCAAGGGCCACTAGGTAAACCTAAAACAGATCCCCATGAAGTGCCCAGAAAGGATCCCTGAAACCTCACGCAGTCTGGTGTCTGGCCTCTCACACATGTGCTGATGCCCGGCCCTCCTTTTCTCTACGTCACATCCCTTTCACTTACTTCCCCAACTGTCTACTGTTCCACAGGGCAGCGGAGCCGGTGGGACTGCAGCCCAGGAGGAGCCTCATCCCACCACTCGGGAGCCCCAGGTAGGCACTGCTGCTCACCTCTTAGTGACTGCCCGCAGCTCAGCCAGGTGTGTCTGCAATGCCTTGGCCTGTCTCCACAGGAGGAAGATGTCCCGTGGCTCCTTTAGGCCCATCTGCTGGGTCTGACAGGAAGAGGTCATGTCCACCTAGGCCAGGCCCTGTCCCTCCCCTACTACCCCACCAGTAGGGCTAGAAGGGGAACCTGTGTCATCTACCAGGTTTCAAAACCCCATATCCATTCCACAGGCTTCCCATCTCCACATGGGGACAACGCCATGTCCCCCAGGAGAGGACCCCTCCCAGATCATACTAGGGCAGCAGGCGGTGTAGGGGTCCCACAGAAGGCAGGGTCACTGAGAACTGTCTCCCCAGAACAGCAAGGGTGTTCCAGCTACTGCCATGCCCCCCAGTTTTAAGGGAGGAACTGCTGCTCTGTCCCCATGATACTAACACTAGAGGGCTCTACAAGACGCATGGGCCCAGTGCCCTGCAAGTGCTGAGAGTCCAGGTGAATGAAACCACCTCCAGCTCAGCCAACAGGAGAGAAGCTGTCTGTGAGGGCCAGGCAGGAGGATGCTTATGATGGAACAGTGAGGCTGCTGTGGAGTTCAATGTGTGCCCAGAGTTCCAGCCTTTAGGGAACAGTAGGGCCCAGACGACTCTTGGGGTCTACATGTGACCTTCCTATCCTCATACCCCACTGTGTCCTGTATGCTGATCTCTGGGACTCACAGGCCTCCTTACCCATCTTACCTCTCCTGCCCATCCCTATCTGGTACAGCCCTACCCAAGGCTCCTCAGTATGGCTTTTGGATAGACACAGTCATGTTATATCTGTTCAAGACCTACAAAGCCTCTTCCTGCATGAGGCCATTCCTGATTTCTCAGCAAACCCTATGTCAGCCCTCTGCAGGCCCTCAGCCCAGGACCACTTTTCTGTACATCTTTCATAGGGCACACTACCCTGTGCCTGGGTATAGCAGGGGACACTTGTTGGGCTATGCCACATCTCAGGGATGAGACATCTTCTTGGCTCTTGTCTCATGGGAGCATGAGATTCTAGATCTTTTCTTCTTGACAAGGATGGGCTGGGGAGCACAAAGAGAACGTGCATCCCAGGGCATGGTGCAGGTGAGGACCACAGCACTAGGCAATTTCTTTCTAAAAGGAGTAAGTTACATTGGTTTCTTTCCTTTGGGGAGCAGAGTCCAGACCCCCAAAGTGGAGGTCTCCTCACACATAGCAGACACGGTAAAGATGAGTGGACCAGAGGGTGAACAAGAACACTCCTGACATGCCACAAGCACACACTCACATGTATCCTACTCCCACACACCAACACGCATGCACAGTTGCACACTCGCAGACTCACATGTACACATACTCATATGCACACACACAAACACCACACGCCAACACACCTACAACTCACATATGCTGTCACACGTTCCCAGACTCTCACACACACTTGTATGCTCAGACCATCATACACTTGTTATATACTCATCATGGGCTCACACATGCACATACACCATACATACTTTCATATGCTCTCACACATACACATATATTTATACCATCACATACACACAGGCTGGCACACAACACATACACATCATACACACACCACACACACACATTACACATACACACAGAGGCTTGCACACAGCACACACACAGAGACTCCCTGTCCCCCACGTATACACGGTCTTGCAGAACTGCCTGTCTAGAATGTCGGGAACAGAACAGAGGAAACTTCCCTGTACATTTGGAGTTACAATGAAACATAAGGTAGTTTGCAGTCTGAATGCTCACAATCTGAGGTTGTCACACATGCTCGAGCTGAAAGCCTACTGCAGTGTGGCTCAAAGACTATTGGAGCCTCCAGACACCCATCAAAAGCAGATGAAAATCCTTTCTGGAACATCCTCCATTCACTCCAGTTTTCAAGGAAATTAACTAGGTATCAGTTAAAAAAAAATCACCAAAGTCACAAGGAGACGCAGGCATGGTGATGACACAAGCATCAGGAATGGCCAGCAGAAGGAATGGAACTAGGTCCTGTAGGCAGCAGGACATCAGATGCAGAGCACAGTGAGTGTGAGCCTTGAAAAGGAGAGTTAGGAAGAGTGAGGGGGCTGGGAAAGAATCAATCCATGCCCCTAAAGATGAAGAATCCACTGTTTGGGGTTTAAATGAAGGAGGCGGAGTCCAGGGAGATTAGACCCCAGAAGGGGACATGGATGAGCATGGTGAGCCTGAAGAAATTAGCCTAGCTCAGGGCGAGCGAGGGGAAGCAGCTCTGAGTAGTTCTGAGCACTTGGAGAGCATATAAAATTGGCTCACGGACACTTTGTTGGCATTAAGGAGCAGAAGGAGAGGTGGGTACAAGTAGTACTAAAAGAGAGACATAAGGAAAGCCAGAGGCTTAAGCAGGACAAACAGGAAGAACCCACACAGGGACAGGTCATACACAGCAAGCTGCAACCTGCCAAAGCCAAGACCAGGTACAAGACACCAGAGCAAGGAGACAACAGCCTTGTGAGGAGCCAGAGGCAGAGGAGGCCAGAGCCTTGCTGGCAGCAGCAAAGAGCCCAGAGGCAGAGTCCCGTGCAGGGCTGAGAGGAAGCCGCTGGCAGTTGGGAGGGAGCTCTCCACCACAGGGGATGCAAAGACCCCCGGTTAGCAAAGCCGGGTGAACGTGGCCACTGTGTATGGCATCGTTTGGTAGAAAACAGCTGTGTGGCACAGACCGCACCCAGATGTATAGCAATGGGCTGAGGTCTGCCTTAACAAGCCTGTACTCAAATCTTGACGCCGGAGATCTTCCTGGAGACTCCTCTGGCGCCTGGGCTGGTACTGAAGTTCAGTTTCTCCTGTAGTGCTGGTGGCAGGAACTTACAAAGAGCTGCTGCCAAGAAAGACAGGCTGAGGGGCAGGAGGCAGCTTCACCTGTAACTGCCTCTTCTGCACTATGGAAAGGGCAGTGATGGCCTCTGTGGGATGAACTGTTTGAGAGGGCATCTGTGGGCCCAGGGCCAGGTGTCCTCCTTGGCTTCTGGAGGCAGCACATTTTCCCGATGCCTACAGAGGGGAAATCTTGCCACTGACATGTGCAGTGGACACTGGGCTGTGTTCCGCTGGTGGGTTTCCTTAGCACCCTGACCCAAAGGGACATCATCAGCTTCTTCAAGGACTGCAGAGAGTCATCTCACCAAGACCACAGTCCTCTCAGGTGGTCCCACATCCAGTGACCGATCAATGGGTCAGACCTCGATGTTTCCCAAGGCTTGTATGCTACACTAACTGGGCGAGCCTGCACCAGCCCCTGGTGGTCTCTGGCTAGGAGCTAAGAGCCACAGTGCAGCCCAGGTCCTTTGAGCAGCCTCTCTGTGTGGCCAACAGAACCCTAGGGTCGTGTATTTCTTTCCCCAAGGGGAGAGAGGACTCACCCCATACATAGACTGTGTAACCAAGCCAAGTGGAGGATAAGGTCTTCCATCAGGAGGGGCTGCATGAAGCCAGCTTCTCTTCCCTGCCCACCCACCACCACCTGCCACAGGGACCAAAGCAGGTGGCCCCAGTGAACAGGCAGAAGCAGGCACAGGGCAGTCAGGGAGCACCTCTCTCTTGGCCCAGTGCCTTACCTGCCGCAGCTCCAGCTCTCCCTGAAGGTGGAGCAAGCTGCGTGTTGTCCTGGCCAGCTCCTGGGCCAATGCGTCATTTGCCTTCTGCATGTGTTCCAGCTGTCTCCGCAAGAGGGTGTTCACTTGGGAGAGGCCTGTGCTTCTGGAAGGACAGAATCCACGGGTGCATGTGTGGTGGCTTTGTAGAGAGGCACATGCAGAGTCCCAGGGTCTAAGTCAAGGGGCTCAAATGGAGCCCTGGATGCCCTGGGCTCAGTTCAGGTGCTCAGTCCCCAGCTCCACTCCCAAGGGCCATTGGCTACCTACAATGAGCCCCACATGGAGCTAGCATCGAAGACTCTCCTCTGGGCCAGCTCAGCACTCTCCTTCCTTCCTGACTCCCCTGTTCTTCCTCTCCCAAGATCTGTCTAACCCCTGGCCACTCCTCTGTCCCCAAGAGGAGCAAGACGTTTGTAAGGGTACAGGAGCTCAGAGGGAGGTGCCCTCAGGCCAGGAAGGGCTGGAACCCTCTGGGAGCTGGGCCTCCTGGGGAGATGTCAGCCTGTCAAACTCCTCAGAATCAGGCTTCCCTGGGGCTATTCCTCCTCTCAAAATTGGTTTTCAAAATGCTTCTCAGCATTTCTTTCCTTTGCCAGATTCCTGGAGGCTGAATCAACCACAGGACATTAGTGATGGTGAACTGCGCTCAAGTGGGCTCTGGCTACTTCTGGGTACCAGGGTGCGGGGTATTATTGTCAAGAGTCAACAAAAGAGCCTGCTGATACCAGAGAGACTTGAAGCCAAAAATTCCTGGAGTTGGGGTCAGGGTACTAAGGAGAGCCAGAGATGGATACCCTGGGTTGCCTGGACCAATGGTCCATGGTTGACTGGGGTGACCCAGTACAACGATGGTCAGGCAGCAGCATCCTAGGTGTCACCCTCAGGGGGTGGGGCCAGAAAGCCTCTTGCCAGTTGGATATGCCTTAGGAGGCTGTTTACAGTCCCGAATTCTCCCCTAGGGGTGGTGGGAAGGTCCCCTTCAGTTGCCCTTGGGACGACAGAGATGCTGCCATGTCCAGGGTGTGGGAATGTACGCTAAGGCATATGGGTGGGGCAACAAGACCAGCTCTGATGTCAGCTCTCACTTGCCTGTGAGCTCTCAGCACCCCGGCCCTAACTCAAGAATTATTTGGCTTCACACCTCGTTCCTGTACGCAGGGATAAAGTTTCTCACTGTTAGTAGACTGGGAAGAGCCCTACTCACCCTGTGGTGATGAAAACCCTCAGCTCTTTACTGTTACCTGGCCTGTTCACCAGGAGGGGAAGGGAATCTGATGCCTAGGCTGGAGCCTGTCTTCTCCCTCCCTTCTCACTCATCCCTGCCCCAGGGATGAAAGACTGTATGTAAGGGTGTGGGAATGGTCTCCAATGGAGAATAAGAGAGAGCTGGGTGGTATTCAGCTCTCTGATTGCTACTGACCCTTCCTTCCTGGGGTCCATCTTCTGCATCAACTCTCACAGGCAAAGTTAATTCAGAATAGCTTCAATAGACTTGCTAACAGCTGCAAGGCAGCGATGTCTGTCCCCTCTGGAGTGATGGCCACACTCCCTATAGACCCAACAGCCTGCCTGGTGGAACTTACCTCTGCTGTGAGGCCTCCAGCTGACTGATAGCCTCCTCTAAGTCCATGCTGTGTTCCAGCTCTGACTTCCGAAGTCGGGCCTCGGTGGTCTCCAGACGAGCCTGCAGCTGGGGAGGAGTATAAGCTCACTTGGTCTAGCTCTCACTAACTAGTCAGGCAGGACATCTTTAGCATAAAGTCCATTCTGGGCAGAGACAAGATAGGGCCTCCAAGGCTCACAACAGGGGCCTGGGTCGGGAGAGAAAATCATATCCCGGGCTCACTGCCCAGGACCACTTGGCCATTACTGAGTGGGAATCTGAACCCAGATTCTATGAAGCCATGGGGTCAAGGAACTGAGAGGCCTGAGAGGAGGGTTAGCATGGTGTGGGGGGAGGAGTGCCGAGGGCCAAAGACCTGCCTCTCAGTCACCAGCAGAATGATAGTTGGGGTCAGAGGGCCTCAGTTGTAGGGGGCTGTAGTATTACCTGGGAAGGGCATGCTGGACCCCACCCTGTCTTGCTTGTGTGTTAGGAGGTGATGTGGGGTGGGGTCTCCTGGCACCCTCACCTAGCTGGCTGTGAGCTGAGATCTGGCTTGTGCGGCTTACTAGTTTACTAATTTTCAGCAGTACCTCTGAAGCTTCTATTCCCAGTGTCCCATTCCCAACACCTCCCATCCTGTGCTAGGAAGATCCCTGCCCCCCACCCCCCACCCCTCTCTGCAGAGGCTCCCACGATGTTTCTGATGTAGGGGGCATGGTAGAAAGGGAGCAGCAGAGAGCTGGAATCCACTGGCAGGTGGGTGAGGCACCTTGGGGCTGGTATGCTTGCACAGGAAAGCCTTCCAGGTGACCTTGTGCAGCAAGGCACAGTCAGGTCTCAGGTTTTTCACAGGTCCCTGGTTATATGCCATAGGAAGAGCAGATCTGGGTTAGGACTGGGCCCAGGCATTGCTAGGTGGCCTTTGGGAAAACACTGACTGGAGCTGAGCCTTAGCTTCCTCATCTGTCCTGCCACACAGAGTTCAGGCAAGGGCCCTAGTGGCCTCAGAGGAAGTACAGGTGGGTCAGGTCCCCCCATATTGTGGGCTGTGCCCCTTATCCTGTAACTCTTCCATATCCCCTTCTGCCTCAAAAGCTGCCACAACTCAGAGTGGATAACACAGGAAAGGGGCTCTGGCCTAGGAAATGCTTTCTGCCTGCGTTTTTCCATCTGCATAGGGAAAGCGTTTCCCAGCCCACAGGTATCCCAAAATAACATCTGGTTGCAGTTTACAGGGAGGTTACCCCTCACTTGCCCCATCCTGAGGCCTGGCTGGTGAGCAGAGGCAGTGGTGTGTGCTGGGGAAGGGCTGGGGACTAGAGTGGAGCCATTTCCTCATAGGCTTTCCCTGAGGCCTGGGGCCAGTCCTTCTTGGCTTACCCTTGATCCAGAAGTTGGCCTTGTGCTCGTGTTGGGTAAGACCCTGGGACCAGTAGGTCATTGCTGACCAGGCCACTCCACAGGACTCCTGGAGCAGATGAGTGACATGTACTGGAAGGATGTGTGAAGGGGTCCCTCTCCTGCCTACCTGCTTACCTCTGGCTTCAGTTTCTCCAGCTGTTGCCCACTGCCTGAGACTGGCTGATGGCCCCACAATTATGACCACCAACCTCGGTAGCTGATCCCTAACAAGGATCAGGCTGTGTGCACTGGCCTGCCAGGCACCAGCTGTATACTCACCCGCTGGCTGACCATGTGGCATCTGCTGGCCAGCTCCTCCCGCTCCACACCTGCCTGGGCCAGCAAGTCTTCCAGCCGGGCCAGCTCCTCCTGCAGGAGCTCACTCTCCTCCTGAGCGAGAGTTGTGGCAACAGGCAGCTCCCGTAGCCCTATGGGCACAGAACTCAGGTCATCGTGTGTGACTGAGCAGGGCCTACATGAACCTCCTCCTACTAGGCTTGTACCAACTGGCAGAGGGCTTCCATGAAGGACTTCACTTCCTCTCCTGTTATCAGGCACCCTTGTACTCCTGCTGCCTCTGGTAAACATCTTTAACCTGCCCAAACCCATGACCACGTCAGCCCCCTATCAATTACAGCAAGTGTGTGAGCCACTGTATGCTACCCATCACGTCTGGGTTGTGGGCAGCAGTGAGACTGTTGCTTCAGGGTAGCAGGACCCTGTCTTCAAGTAAGAACCGTTTTCTGTTTTTATCACATGCTCAGCAGTAGCCAGGAGCCATTAGAAGACAAGACAGACCCTCATTCCCCCAAGCGGCATCAGGACTCCTACAGAAGGGAATCATCCTGACTGCTGTTTGGCCTTGATGTAGGGACAGAGCCCTTAGAGTCTGCTCCTCGGCTGCAGTGAGATGATAAGAAAGCTGCGCACAGGGATCTAGATGAGGGATAGAGACAAAGCTCAGGGTGTCTGTGTCAACCGAAACCTAAATTATCAACCTTTCGGATTTTCACTGTAATGAAAAATGAAGATGGATGAAATCAAGACATTGGTGGCATAAATGTGCCATAAGTACAGAGCTTGGCTCCATGGAGAACCTTGTGGATACTGACACCACTCTGAGGAGACCCAACAGAAGGATGTGGTTGAAAAGATGGTGACCCGGAGGGTCCAGAAAAGTAGCCAGGGCCTCAGGACAGTCATAGTGGTTTGGCTCCCTGAGGTCAGACTCCAATGTGTTGCTCAGAGGCTCCCCCTGTTCCTGAACAGGCCCAGCACCTCACCTTGGAGTGGCTCCTCTCCCAGGCTGCCTGCCACGATCTCTCGGATGCGGGCGGGCACAGGGGTGGGGGAAGCCTGCTGGTCTTTTCCACGCACAGTCAGTGCCCGGTCCTCTCTGCTGGCCGTGGGGCTCAGGATGGTTTCTTCCAACCTCTGAAAAACACCCCAGAGCCTTGGTGCTGGCAGGCCCTGGACAACTTACAGGCACCCCCCACACAAGCCCACTGGCGTCAGTGGGGGGCCACCGTATGGTCACCCCAAGGCAGCAAAGAGTCCTGGAGATGGCAGAACTGGGCCAGGCTAGTCACCCAAGGCACATACCTTAGTTTCTCCACCTGCCTCTTCCTAGCAGTGCTCTGACAGAGACAAAGGCTACATGGGAGTCCCAGCCAAACCTACACAGCTTGCCTCTAGGCCTGTTCCGACTCTGAACAGCCTGTTCTGAGGACTGGGTTGATTCATCACTCTAGCCTTTCTTGGATGCTGAAAGAAGACATCTTTGCCTCTATCTACAGAAAGAAACCCAGCCTCCCAGCCCACTTTGAGCAAGTAGGCTCACAGTACAGTTGGGATTAGGGGGGTTCCTAAGCCCCACAGGTCTGGTGAGGAAGACCGTGACTGCACATAAATGGACCGAGTGTCCACTTCCTGTCCTGAGAGGGCCTATCCATCATGAGGGGCATGTTGGGTCCTAGGGGAATCAGGGTAGGCACAAGGTGACACAGGTGGGGACCTGAGAGGAGGGTCATGCTGGCTCTGGGAGCAGGTCTGAGATCCACCCTACCCCCCGCCTCTTCTCCCTCTCCCTTCCCCTCTCCCTCTCTCTCCCTCCCCCCTCCCTCTCTTTCTCCCTTCCCCTCTCAGGCTAACCCTCAAAAGGCTTCTGTGGGTGGGCAGCTAGAATGGCCCTCTTTCTTGGCTGATCCTGAACTGCTGAGCTGCCAGGAGAGAAACCATGTAGGCTCCAAGTGATCATGAAATCCTGGCGTCCTGGTAAGATCAGAGGAACCAGCTCTCCCTGAGGGAACCTTAACATTGTAAGCAAGCTTTCATGATTTCCTTCAAATAAATTAGGTTGCTAGGGGTTGGGAGATTTGACCCTTTAACAGCTGTGCCTGGCTGCCTTGAGCAGGGAGCTGTTAACCCAGCAGCCCCTCTCTTGGCAACCAACTGGACTGTCATGGTAGCCCAGTTGTTTTGGACACTCCATGAACATATCCAGGATATACTCCAGCTGCTGGCTCGGCTGCAACTCCTGCTTCAGGAGGTCTGGCTCTAGTGATGACTACTCCAGATAACTGGACCTACTCGGGAAAACTTTACTTGGGGCAGGACAAGCCTGCAGCTAGTCTCACTCAAGTCAAGGAGGAGCACTTCCCCCAGTAGCTCAACAGAAAGCCTGTGACAGGAGCAGTATGAGGCCAGAGATTGGCTGACCACAAATGTGTGGTGCCCTTTTTCAATCTATGTAAGTGGCCTGCTAGCCACTCTTTTCAGGTTAGCCAGGAGGCCCTCTCCTTGTGTGCCAGAGCATCAGGCCCAAGCAAAAGCTTCTCCTGAATGGTTTCTTTGCTCTTTTGTAGTCTTTGTTACCAGCTGGGCTGGTTGCATGATTACAGATTCATGCAACCTGAGCTAAGTTCCTGTGGCAACAGCAGCAGCAGCCGCAGCATTGAGGAGGGGGGTGAAGAGTCCCAGGGAATCACCAGGAACTAAGTACCCCAATACCCAAAGTTCTGAGTTATTATATAACTCTGAGCTTAGCAGCTGACGTGTTCCAAAGAGCAACTGAGGACAGAAACTGTGAGAAATGAAGAAAGGTGGCAGGGCTGAAACAAAGGAGTACAGGGTAGTGAGCAGCCAAAGGACGGAGCTTAGACTACAGGGACCTCAAGCCCCAGAAGAGCTACTGAGGGTTACAGAGCCAAATGTCTGGATACCCAGAACTGAGGACACTGGCTGCTGAATCCTGGTGCTCAGAGTCCAGAGCAATAAGCCTATGACTTTGAAAGCTTGGAGCCATAAGCTTCTTAGTCTCAAGGCCTGGTGCTATAGGCCTCTGGCTTTGAAAATTCAGCTTGAGTCTTTCAAACTCAAGGTCATCAGCACTAAGGGAGCAGCTTCTATCCTGGGTAAAGCAAAGGAACCCCCTCCCCCCCAGCCAGCCTTTTGTAACACTGGATACCTAGTAGACCTAGAGATGGTCTGTGGGGTCTCCAGTTCTCAGGAGCATTTTGTGGGGAAGAAATGGGCCTGCGATAGAGATTCTGTCAGATCCTATGGGCAGACTTGTTCCATGACAGCAGAAAACTTCCAGAAAATTTCAAGATGATGAGGATTAAGGACAGCCCATAGTAGCCCACCGCCTTGTACATAAGGATGTTTGAATTTAAGGCAGTGAATGGGTAAGTGATGCCAGGAGCCCCTGGGATGATGTCTACTCCTGAGCTTCCCAGGGTAGCAGACACAGTCCTGCCTGCCCCTCCCCCAGTCCTCTGCCCCTCCAGGTCATCACTGGAGGACCTTCTCCCTGTTCTCCTCCATGATGAGACTCCCCAGATATCCCTCCCACCTAGGGTCCACAGTGGGTGACACTCAGCAGCCTCCTGACTTCCATCTTCCAGTTCTCAGTGAAGATCCTTTCCAGTCTAGACTCCTTCTGGCTCTCTCAGCTGGGCCGGTGGGGGAGGTTTTTGGATGCCCTGCTCTTCCAAGCACCCCACCCTTCCCATCCTATCCCTCCTCCTGACCCCAGCCAGGCCTCTTTCCAGTCTATGAATCCCTGAATGCCTCCCTAGGAATAGGTCATGCCTTTCATTTAGATCTCCTGAATATACTGACTTCTCTCATCAGCTAGCCAGCTTGGAGAGTCACCTCCAAGACCCAGATTCTGTCTCTACAGAGGCCCGTTCTCATCCCCCAATGAGGAATGAGCCCGGGGCCTGGTTAATCTGCCCCTTTCAGGCTCAGGGAGGACTTTTTCCCCAAGGCTTTGAGCTGTCTTCCCTAGGTGGTCTTGGGAGAGCGCCCTCTCTTCACCTTCCTCCAGAGGACCTCCCAGTCTTGCTCTGGGTGGGTGGTAAACAGCCTCCCGTGGGTGCAGCAGCTCCATGGTTGAGCAGCTGAGTCCTGCTCGCTAACCCTTCCAGGTCCTTCCAGGCCCCAGGTGCCAAGACCACCAAGGCTTCTCCTGCTCTCCTAAAAGACTGCTGGAAGGGCCCAGCCGTTCCTGGCCCGCCGTCTTGTTTTGCACTGGGGAAACTGAGGCCCAGCGGGGTGGCAAATAGCCTCCTAGGCCTAGGATTAGAGACGTGATGCCGGCTCCATCCAGCGGTTCCCTCCAGGCCGGAAGGACCCTGCCTCCCCTCCCTCTGCTCCCCGGAGCATCGGCGGCGCCACCCGCTAACGGGAAGCAGCGGCGCAGCACAAACTTGACTCATTCCTAACGTTCACAGAGGGTCACTTATTAGTCGGGACGTCCCGAGAGGCGCTGGGGGCGTAATGGGTTCCAGCTGTGGCCGGGTGCCTGCGCAGGACCGCCGCCCAGCCAGAGCGGGAGGGGTGGGGGCGGTGCGAGGGGCGGGTCCCTGGCAGCCGGCCCTCCCCTCTGGCCTCGGGTCCCCAGCGCAGGGAGGGATTGCGGGGAGGGCAGCCCCGCCTGCATGGAAATGCGGGGGCGGGGCGCGGGGCTCAGCTCCCTCGTGTTGCGAAGTCCGCGCTGACCCCGACTTCGGATCCCCATAGGGACGCCCCCGCCCCGCAGCCCCGCACCCCGTGCCTGGACTCCTTCCCTACCCCGTGCGTCTGGCCCAGGGGTCTCCTGCACCCGCGTCACAGTCCTGGGCCTGTACTTCGTCCTCTGCCAAGGCCCAGCTGTCCCCGCTGCCACCAGCAGTGCTGGAGCCTGGGTGGGTTGCCATCTCCAGGGCAGGGGTCTTTCCTGTCTGGCCCGGCTCTGGGGAGGGCTCTAGGGGGCAATGGGGAGACTGGACAGATTCCAGAGCTGGTCAGAAAGGACCTTCGCGGTTATTGTCCCCAAAGACCCCAGGCTCAGCTGAGCTGGGCCATGTTCCTGACTCCTGAACCCTCCTCAGCTCAACTGTGCCAAAGATCCCAAGTCACAGCTTCTGCCAGTAGCCTGTGCAGATAGAGCTAGTCCAAAAGGGGTCTGCTTGAGACTCAGTGGCGATGGACAGCCACCACTGCCTCCCTACTCTTGTGTGCCGATGTGGAGAGTCCCTCTAGGAGACCGGCCTCTTTACCTCTCTGGGTCAGAGCAAGACTCCCTTCTAAGAGAATGGAAGAGGGGTATCCACTGTGCCACCAGTACACTGTGGCTGTGGATGTGTCACACATCACCTGTGAAGCTAAGGAGTATGAAATTGGGGGTAGTGGTGTAATACAGGTCCCCTTCGGTGCCAGAGCCTCGGGGCTATCAGTGGAAGTTGGAGTTTAGGTGTGAGCAGAACAGCGGGGAGACTGGGCAGGAGGGAGACCTAGCACTGACCACACTCAAGTACAACCACAGTGGGGAAGGGCAGGATCCCACTGAAGCCTAGACCCCAAGGGGCATGGTCTCTCAGCTCTCAGGTGCCCCCCTGGGCTGCTGCCTGAGCTGGGACCTGGGCTGAGCAGGAGGAAGGAGTTCAGTGTGACCCGTGCCGGACAGCACTGCTGGTTTCTTGGGCAGGCTTGGGTGGCTCTCACTAATGCTCCCAGTAACTGGGGTGGAGCACAGCCCTGGCCCTACCGGAAGATGGAAAGCCTGCATGAACTGTCTCTTGGTCCCAGAGTCAGAGCCCAGTTGGGTGCTGGCAATACTCCCAGCAGGCAAGCCTAGCACCCCCCTTCTAGGTCGCAGGTAGAAGAGGAAAAAAGGTAGACTCTCCTTGCAGTAAGATTGGGGAGGTGAGGGTCAGTGTTTTCCCAGCTGAGACAAACAGGGACTGCAAGGTGTGAGTGTGAGGCCCCCACTGTCCCCAAGTTACCCTGGTGGACTTCTTGGGAATCTCTCACAGAGCCAGGAGCACTGGCCCACCACTTCTCTCGAGACCCTCTTGTGACAGGGGTGGTAGGGTCATGGAAATAAAGGAGACTCAATAAGGCAGAAATGGCAAAGCACATGGTAAGCACCACTTCCCTTGCCCGTAGGA